CTCAGTGTTGTATGAGTAATTTGGTCACAGGTCTGAACTCTCTAAACAACATGTATAGTAAATACGTAACCAAGCACATCTGCTCTTATAAAATGGTTGTAGCTGGACGTGGCAGTGTTGTAATGGCATGGAAATGATTGTGTGCATGAATTGAATGTGTAGTAAAACATAATTTAATTTGCAGTAACTGTGACAGACATTTTTCAGCTTAATATGAAATCCAAACATTTCATACTGCTTTTACCTGCTGCTTTTATGGAAAGAGGTTGCTTTCATACGCCTTGCATTCGATGGGCAATCCATCCATATTTTGTAGCTTTTGTAGAAGCAGTTTCTGTGGCTAAATAAATGATGGGCTGTCTGGTTTCACAGTGTCTTTTCCACGAGATTCTTGAAACTCCAAGTTTTGTTGTTTCTATAAACTTTTCAGTAAATATAAATAGCTTTTACTGGCGAAATGGGACAAGAGTTGGTGTTGGGTCCTTGAGCTTTGGTTCTTTCATATTCTGATTAAAGGTATTCATCGCTGATGTTAAAGTCCAAGTCTGGAAAGCATGAGGGCTGTGATAGAATCTAGTAAAGGAACCCTGATCTTGGCTGTGTCATTGAAGCACTTACTGAACAGAAATTCCATTTCCTAACACTTAAATTTGCAGCGATAACTTCTCCACCAATCGTGAAATGTTTCGTTTTAAAATAGGAACCGTATTTGAAGTGTAACATCAGAGCAGCTAGTTTCCATTTTGTTCTAATGCCGGTTTAACTCCAGAACGAAATGTTTACATAGCGAGTATAACATCTTATGTAAATATTAAAGTTTAGTTGAAGATTCCTTTCCAAAGATGTTAGCTTTCCAGGGGGCGTTAGCCAACGATCTTACTTCTGCCTGGAAGCTTGTGTCTCTTCTGCATACACGGGCTATGGTACAGAATGAGAACAGTTGGTCTGGAGCTGAGCGAACCATTTCCTCCACCCTTGTCGACAGCAAATTTACATTTGTATGGCACATGAGTGGGTGCCGCCTTCCATGGTGGATCGAGTGGGGGAGGGGGCAGTTTTGCACAGGAATCTAAGCCGAAGAATCTGAAATCAGAAAATTCACTGCAAAAGCATGATTATGGTGTAAACCTTGGGGATTTTAGGCGTTTCTTTTCCTTCATTTCTTCTTCCTAGAACCAAGCCTCATAACGGAGTTTATTGTGGTTCAGAATGATTTCCTATTACAATTCATTGTTAATGCAGGGCTTTGCTCCAAAGGTCTTAGTTTCTCAAATTGCCTCTTGTAAATAGGCAGGAAATCCAGGAGCAATTCAGACAAGCTGTCAGGCGAGTTTCCTTTGGTTAACTGCCAAGTTTCTTTCTTTTTTTTTTTTTTTAAAGTTACCTCATCATCCTTCCTTGTTTTGGTAGTCTGTCAGTTTGCCTCAAAGGGATACGTTTATAAATCTCCAGATAAACATAGCTTGATGAAAAGAAATAAATAAAAAACCCAAAATACTTAAGTTTCAGATTGACAGTCACACGTTTGGCTCGTGTTGGTTGCACAGACAGACATCGCCAAAGATTTAAGAGAGAGGTTCTGTTGAAATTGTCAGCTGATAATCTTCTGGAAAGTGATCCTTCTTCACAGCAGGCAGTATGTTATGTGAGGAAATGTTATATCTTTAAGGATTGCCACTACTTGGTGTCCAGTTGATTTTAGTTTTTACTACAGGGAAAAAAAATAATAAAAAAAAAAAGTTTTGAATCATGAAAAATGTGAATTTTTAATCAATGTGCTAGATTAGGGAATCATTGTTTCTTGATGATAAAAGTATACAATAAAAATCACTGTATAGATAACGAAAGAGCTGTGCTTATTGTGGTCTGATTTGCTCTTTGTGTGGCAAGTGATCCATGAATGGATCTTCTTCATTGGATCATCTTGTGTGCTGCTGACTTCCTCCACACCACATCTCCACATTACAGAGTCCAAGTTGTGTTGGCAGGATTTCTGTAGCAAATATTTAATATCACAAGTGGCTTAGTGTGTCACCTGGATAAGCCATCAATTGTCACTGGTCTTAGAACTTGGGAGTTCTGAGTTTAAGGTGTGCAGCTGTTGAATTCATTTAAACCAGGAAGTACATAAAGCTTTGGTGCGCAGTGATTGCCAAGAGAGCATTTACTGTTTTTGCTTTTGTAGTAGTTGCAGGTTTCCTTTCTGATACAATGGTACAGACCTCAGAAGATAGCAGAATGCAGTGACCTGAAAGGACTACAAAGTCACAACAAAACAAATTGCTCTTCATATTTTAGTTCTTAATAAGCTGGGTGAAACATTTTCCACAAGTATTGAGTGGATGCTACTAAAATGTGTTGTGTAAGTCTACGTAGAAGCTTGGGAGTGCACATGTATATACACATGCTAATATAGTAGATACAGATTCCTCTCTTAATTATCTCCCTCCTTTGTAGTTTCTTTGATTAGAAAATGTGAGTAATAGGTTAATAGCTTCACAGTTTCTCAGTTGTTTTCTTGTAAGATTCATTGTACATAAGAACTACTTCATAGAGTCTTCCTGTGGTCATTACTTTCCTGTGAAATTGGAATGCCTTTAGTTGTCTTTCACTGATGCTATTCAAAAACCCTTGGGCTATAGAATAAATTGAAAGAATAGTTTCTTTGATTATACTGCAGTTATCAGATGGGAAACTTTGGTCATCTTCAGCCATAGTTATTGAAACTGTTCTAAACTTTCAGATTCTTCTGTAAGATGAAGATCTGTTCAATGCTTATGTGAGCTGTCATAGCTATTGCCCCCATTTCAGAACTATTTTTCAGTTTCCCCCTTTTTGCTACCCCTAGTTCCTTTGTGGGGTTTGTCATTTAGGATGCAGTTCTCACTGGGTACCATGTATACACCTTCCATGTGAATAAGAACGTAGAATCATGGAATGGCTCAGATTGGAGAGCACCTTAGAAATCATCCAGTTCCAAGCCCCTTTCCATGGGCAGGGCTGCCACCCACCAGACCAGGCTGCCCAGGGCCCCATCCACCCTGGCCTTGAATGTCTCCAGGGATGGGGCACCCACAGCTTCCCTGGCCTAAACAGTTATACTGGGTTAGCCCATTAACTTGTCTCTGACAGACACCTGCAATCAGCTGCTAAGGCAGAATCCTTTCCCAGAATACTCATAGCTATTTGTGGCTTTCTATCTTCAGCATATTTTTCTGTTTTGAGAGTTCTTGGCAGATTCTGCAGTGAATTTGTCGGAAGGCTTTTAGCCATGCTTCTGAACTTCTTTTGCTTTTTATGGCAAGAAATGCTACGATGTGGCTATTGTGTGAAGCATTACTTCCTTTTGTTTGTTTGGAAAGGGCTGATAGCTTCATTTAATTCACCTGGTATTAGAAAGTTGATAAGCTGTCCTTCCCTACTCATCAAGCTAACCATTACAGGAACACATTTACTGGAAGGTCAAGGCTCTTTCCATTTTTTGATGTCTTCGAGTCAAGAATGAATAGCTTTTTTCAGAGAATGCTGCAGCCAAACACTATTTATTTGGGGCTCTGTACAGAAGGTCACTGGAAAAAAAAAAAAAAAATTCTGCTTATCCAGAAAGTCACATGATGTCCATTTCAGACTGTGGTAGAAAATAATTGTGTGTATGTTGGTTTTCTTTTTTTGGCACGTTTTTTTTCTTCATTAGTTGAAAAAGGGCTGAGAATTAAGCCTTTGGCACAGCTCTGCCTTTCCTTCCTGATGCACAACAGGGGAATACAAGTACATCTGTTTTATAGTTTCTCAAAGAAGGTAAATTGTCCTACATCGACTTTTTATTGTCTTTTTTCAGTTTTGCCCTACTTAGGAAGTGGGAAGTGAGGAGGATCAGCTCTGGATTTGGTTAATGATATCCAGGTGATCCTGGTACTCTACTGCCTTTACTCCTCATCTGCTCTCCTCGGTGCAAAATCTTCCCCATGTTTCAGTTAGTGCAATAGAGGAAGGAAGCATTGAGTTAGGAGCTTGTCAAAGATTATTCACCAGTAACTTTAGAAAGACTGCCAAAAAGAGGGAGGCTAATATTTTTTTTCCCTTGGGTGAAGTTGTATGCTAAGTAGATACTTTAATTCTTAAAGGATTGGAAGATTGAGTCCTCTCTTCTGATAAGCAGGTATTATATTGGACCCTTCATAAATTGTGCCAGCATCTGAAAACTGTTGGAACAAATTTGTTGTATGACTTCTTATATAATTGATAATGTTCTATTTTATGTACTCCGGTTTCTTTAATATCCTTTAGTAATACTTATCTTAGCGAAATCTTTTCTGCAGGTATATTTTCATCTTTGATTGGAAACTCATCTGCAGATCTCTTAATATGTTCAAATGATTGCCAAAGGATGGCACCGAATGTCCTCTCCAACCCCCTTTCATGATTGCTTTTGTGGGTTTTCCTCCTTTTGCGGAAGGAAGAAGAAGGGAGAGTGGATGACTGTTAATAGTTAAAGAGGAGGGAAGCAAACGGTAGTCACCACACTTAAGATTTTTTTAGTGGAGGTTTCTGATCTGCCATTTCAATCAGAATTGTTTGCTCTGAGGAGAGGAAGGGAAGAAGGAAGTTGGAGGAGAAATCATGCCTGCTTCTTCACAGCAGCTCTGATTGGGATCCCTGCCGCAGGAGCTGGGTAAGTGTGGCAGGCAGCCAACTTGAAAGCATTCTCCCCAAGAAAGCCTGAAACTTGGAAGAGAACAGATGATTCTCATGGTATTTTGAGACTCGTGCCAGCCTCAATCAATTATCAGTCACTTGTGAAGACATTCTGAGAATTGGCAATGCCTGAGTATTAAGGTAAATAATCCAGGAAGGATTAGATATTTATGTGCTAATCAGAATGTTTCCAATTTCATTGTAGAAATATGTGGAACCTATTTATATTAGATATAGTTATATCTATATAAAGGAACTATAAATATACACTATTGTGTTATCAGGCTTACGGTGTTTGATTTAATGGTTGGTTTGGGAACAAAATACCATGCGAAAGGTATTGTGTAATTGTTCAGATTGCTTGATTTCCCCTCCCAGTATATTTTATTTAGTGCAGGTGGCCTCAGTCAAGAAGGAAAATCAATGATCCAGCTAATCTAATGGCCTACCATAAATACTCATAAAATTTATTACAGACAAACATAAACAGCAAAATGCGTGTAATGTATGTGACTGCGCATGCCAAAATATTTCTGTGGATTTTATGTGAAAATAGAATCTATTAGATGCTAATTTCTACGAAGTGCAGCCATAGTCATAGGATTAGTTTTCTGAAGAAGCTCATTTGATGGGAAAATGCAGGAAGTAACGCTGAAATCCCTCACAAATATTATCACAGTCGAAAAATCCGATCACCTTAGGTTTCAGCCTGATTTTCTTCAGGGCTTTAGCTGCATTTTTCTGCTGCTGTTCTTCCCGATGCCACATTCTCAAGTTCGCATGCGGAGCTCCATGTCTGGCACCACGCTTCCCACTCGGATTTGCAAAAGCAGATCCTGTGCCTTTAAAAGCAAGTGGCTCACCGAGTTGTTTGCAGCACAGCTTTTTATCCCGTACAGTATACTCCATGCAAATGAGCTCCCGCTCAGCCCTGCGTGGCTGCCTGCCCTGCTGGGGAGCTCACAAAGGCTCCGCAGACCTCATTCAGCATTCGCCTGTTTAAAACGGCAGATGGAAGGAGGTATCGGCGAGATGAGGACTTATTAGCTGCTCACAATAAAAGACCACACTGGCTCTGCAGAGGATCAGAGAAAGCCTGGTGAATGGGATTGAGTTGTATCTGCTTTCAGCTGACTTTACAATGATGCGTTTAGCTCATGTGACTCGGTCACTTAGCGTGAAGATCAGCTAAAGATTTCCATGTAAATATCTACTCCCTCAAGCACCAGCAACCTGTGTGCTTTTATGGAGACGTTTTTGGTTTGCAGCTGTCATAACTGTGGGAACAGCAGCGTCTCATCGAGCCGTGCTCGGCAGCCGCCGCTCCGGGCGCATTGTTGGTGCGTTTGCTGAAAGCCCCTCATAAACACAGCTCTTGGTGAAGTTTGATTTCTTGTGTGTGCCTGCTGAAATCCTGCAGAGGCTGAAGTTGGGCTGCTTTTAAATACAGTATTTATATTCAGAAGCTATAAATAGGCTCTTCTGAAGCTTTTATCTGGCGATGAAATCTGTTGCTTTAGCTTTCCACTAAGAAATTGTAGGTCATTGCGGCGGTTGGCGATATTTGCAGCATTTCCTTTTTTCCCCTCTCTACCAGAGGAAGGACAGGGGTAGCACGAAGATTCCATGAGATGCTCAGCGGTTGGGATGAACGTATCTAGGTTTTTGTTTATTCCAGGGCTGTTTGCTATAGCTGCAGCTCTTAGCGCCTTTTCTTTTTCAGCACGGCTCCTATTTTAATACGCGAACGTAGATAATGTACAGCAAGGGAGAAAGTCTCTTTTGACCTTGCTGGAGTTTTCTGTGTAGGCAAGGTACAGGCAAACAGAAACTGCAGGACAGGCTGCAAAATTCTCAGCTGAGTGCTGCTTTTTTTTTTTTTTTGCCTTTCCGCCATGGATGACGAAGAGGGAAGGGTTTCTTAAGACAGCTCTGTCAGTGATGAATAGATGAATGAATTCTTACATGTTCAGAACTTGCAACATGTGTTCCCAACCCCTCAGCACCTAGGAGAGGCAAGATCTCAGCAAGGAGCTCAAGAATGCGCCGTGCCTGCTGCGTGTGAGAAGGAGAGCAGCATACCTCAGAGATAGCAGAAACAAAAGAGGGTGCGATGGTATCTCTGACATTGGCTTTGTCTTACAGAGCAGCAGAGGAATTCAGAATTAGGAAAATCAAGTTTTATATTGTTTCATTGTGATTTTTTTTTTCTAATTTTAAATAGCTCCATTCCCTCTCTGTCACAGAATCAATTTTTTAGCTGTGAGTGTGCAGTTTTTTTTTTTTCTCCGAAGGAAATGTGACCTGGATTTTGTGAGCTTATTATGATCGGTAACTGAAGGCAGCTGTTGTAGTTTGCTGATCCCTTATGTAGCTGAAATACATGGAAAGAAAGCAAAAATAAGCATGTGGGGGATCTGAATTAAATTCCACTCTTTGGCCTTATGTGGAGCTGTGGATTATTATACATTTCTGGACAGTTGTGTATATGAAGGGAAAGAGTCATCCAACCTTGGAAAGACTTAGGGAAGTCAAACAGATTTTTTTCCAATGCGACCTGCTAAATCTGTCACAAAAGGGGCAGGCAAAATGACATACAAATAGTCAGAGACCCTGGCTGTGGTTCTTCATGACAAGCGAGTGAAAGACCAGGTCCTATTTTTAGAGAGTGGATGGAGGAGGGGCAGTGAGGGAAGAAAAAGTTTGAAAATAATGGACTTCTTTAACAGTTAGGGAGCAAAACTGGCCAGCAGCAAGAGAGGCAGCGCCGTGGGGATATGGATGACTCAAGTATTCTGCGGAGGAGAGGGCTGCAGGTAAGTGCAACTTCTCTCTGTTTTGTCCTGCTACCCGCAGTGTCAGCGTTCTCAGAAATGATGACACTCTTTCAGGGTAAATCAAGTCAGTTTGTAAGCAGAGCTAGGATTTAAGCTTTCTTGTTTTCGCCTAGTACACATATGCTCATTATAGAAGTAAGATTTTCGCATAAAGTTATAAAATACATTTTGCTAACTTGCTTTAAATTTAAGTCTCGTAAAGCCTTTTGAAGAACATTCTTATGGAAAGAAGCAATGTCTAAACTGTAAGGCTTATCTCATATTTGAAACTTTGGTTTTGGAGATATTCTAAACCCTGCAAAGTGACTTTTCTGACTTGCCTCAGAGTAGCCATTTTAGCCGAGCATTACTTAGAAATTAAATGAGAAAGCAGAGTGAGTATTTTTAATCTGTTAGAGCTATGCTTATTTATTACTTCAAATACAGATGCGGTGCTACAGAAAAACAGTTCTTCAATACAAGTGATATCTATATTTTTTCAACAATTGTCGTTATGTTGACACAGATTCTCCTGCATTTTGTTTTAAGCTTTAACATCCCAGTGAAGTTTTATGAAATTGCAGTGCTGTGACAAATATGGTGATCTGTGTCAGTGTCAGTGGGCTGTGACGGCAGAGCCGATTCTTCCTGAGTAAAACAGCTGGAAGTGAGAGAGCTCCCAGATCTGGTGTGAACTGGAAATGGAATCAATTTTTGCTTGAAAGCACCATATTCCTTTTTTTTTGCATTGTAATGTGATATAGCCTATTACATACATGCTGGCATAAATAATTGTTTATAGACCATGAAGCTTGCTCATTAAACAATAAACAAAACAGCTGACAGGCACAGTTAATTTCACTTCTTTTGAGGCAAGTGAATTCACCATTTTGAAATACTACCATTTGTAGTTTAGGGACGCTTTAAAGTAATCAGGGTGTTACTGTTGCATTACCTGAATGTGCTTTGTCTCACTGTTTTAGTAACCGTTTAGTTTTGATTTTTCTTTGTGCCAGCTTATTAATATTTCTGAAATTTAGTTTCACATAATGTGCTGCATCAATCACAGCCCTACTGTGATGTGCTAGTTCACTTGCTCAGCATAAAACGGAATACAAGATGTTTTTCTTTAACTGAAGTATATAGGATTGGGACTATTGTTTTCAGTGATGATGTGTTAACTACTTGGGACTTTGCTAAGAAAATTGTTTCTGACCAGAGAAAATCTAAATCATTCCCCATATGCTGGTTGTTCAGAGCCTAGAATGTGAACTTAGAATGTCTGAGATGTTGCATCTGTGGCCTGTGGAGGCGTGTTTTTTTATTTTTAGTAGGAAAAATTATAGTAAAATATTTCATACCTTCCTTAATAATAAATGCTATCGAAGAAGTTGGTCCAACTCTGGAAATAAAAATAATAATAATAAAAAAATTCTAATATGTTTTTTCTTCACTTTTGTTCTTTACTATATGATATCACAGATTTGGGATGGGATATTTATATAATGAAAGTCTATTTTGACAATGTAGATGGAGGTCTAACTGGAGAATAACATTAATTGCACTGGTAAAGATTTCACTCAAGAAATCTTACAGTTTTGAAGCATGATGAGAAACACACTGAAGCTGAGTAAATATGTTAAGTGTTTTCAGGACAGGGCAGCTTGTTACACTAATGGAATGAACTGCTACATCGGGGCAGTCCCTGAGGTTATTTCTGTGATCAGCAATAAGACTAGAACTGACCCATGGATGTTGCAAATTTAATGAAGAATTTGAGTTAATATGCCTCTGCTCTGTTTCTCTGCACCTCTGAAGGGACAGAAAAAGCTCCCCAGCTTTCCTAAGATCCCAATAACCCAAACTGTTTTCTCTGTTGCACTGGAAGACATTACTTTGCTGTTGAGCTGGAAACGAACGTGGCAGGTAATGGGAAGGGAATGCTGCCATTACACTGGAGATCCCCATGGCTTCTGTGGAGTGTCTCATGGTAAAAGTGCTTCTGGCAATGGTTAGCTTTTCCTGCTGTCAGCCCTTCAAGCGTGTGGCTGAGGTTAAAGCCTTCGTACTCTGAAGGAAGAGAAAAGTTAATTCAGTGTGCTCTTGTGCTACACAGGATTGGCACACTAACGCCTCATTGGCAAAGACAATAATTTTCGTAATAACAACGAGGAATAAGTATATTGCAGTGGTTTTCATCCCATGCCAATGATTGTGCTAATTAGTCCCAAAAATAATCCTAAAAGCTTCACAGAGAAGCTTCTAAAAAAGTAATGAAAAAAAAAAAAATCACTAACGGGAGGGAGGAGAGTAAAAAATCCCTTGTGCTAGTAGATCTTAAAGCAGTTCATGTGATGAATGCCAGGTGAGGCACCCTGCAGCCTGAGCAGTGTATCTCTCCTCCTTGTGCAGTGTGACAGCTGGGGAGACGATGCCCTTCCTCTGAAATTCATCAGGGTGCTTCAGGCAAGCACTGGTGAGCACTGTGAGGCTGGAGGGGCCCAAACATCTGCTGGTGACAGCAAAAGACATACTGGGACTGGTTTAATACGTGCAGCGTGGTGGAATTTGGTAATTTTAGTAGCCTTTCATATTTACTGTCTATGTGGGCTGTTGTCTGTACGTGCTTGGGTAGGTATGTGTAAATGGCATGTGTTTATGTAGGTGTAATTCACAGCTCCACCAAGAACGCTCGGGGGGTTAAGACAATGCACTCATAGGACAGCAGGTAATAGGGCAGATGTGCAAGTCCAGGAGTAAGTTAATGCTGGATTTATTTTCCATGCATCTAGGACTGTTGGGGTGTTTTTAGAAGAAACTGGCTCACAAAAGTGACTATTGAAAACATTCCCTAGGAAAAGTTACAAAACGACTGGTTTGTGTTGGCTCTTCTGAGGCAATGCATTTTAATTACTTTTTTGGGGGTCTGGGTGCTGGTGGTGTAGTTTTAGAAAGTCACTGATGAAAACAAATTACTTCCCCATTTCAATCTGGATGTTGGTGACTTTTGAAATAAACATCCCAGCCTAAATTGGGCCCCTAATCCAACCCCTGCACTCAAAGCCCTGCTAATTCCAAAGTGAGATCGGGTTACTCAAGCTCTTGTTCAGACTGGTTTGGAGTATTTCGAGGGATGGAGAATTTGCAGCTTTTCTTGGCACCTGTTCTGGTACTTGTCCACTGGTGCTGTGAAAAATCTCATTTCCTTTATATTTAGTTGATAGAGAAGAATGTGTTGGTCAGCCTGCTGATACTTATTTCACATATAAATTGACTTTTGCAGATTAACAGAAGGGAACAAATGAATTATTTTCAGCAGAACTATGTGACCAGTATGACCTGAGATTCTTTATTTTTAAACTGAGTGGATTTAGACTTGTACTGATCTGGTTTCCCCAAGGTTTCAATGTTTTAGGTTTTTTTTTGTTTTGTTTTCATATCTTCCTGTCCATTGGACATCTTAGCTGGACTCCTGCTTATTGCTGGTGATGTTTCAATCTTTTGCCTCTTCCTACTTGTTTCCTGCAACCGAGTCCTCAGCCTAAATATGATAAAACACTTATTTTGTGTGTTGTTCCTGCTGTCTAACAAAAGCAAACAGACTTTTTGTTTTCCTTTTCTCTGTCACTGCTGAGAGCTGTACAGGAGCCTGCAATCTGAAGGAGCAGGTGCCTTTTCTTTCTCCCAACTCTTTGTTCAAATCAACAGAAATTTCAGGTTAGGCTGTTACTTCTTTTCAGCAGTGTTTCTGAAGTTCCTCTCACTTTGTTCTTTCCAGTTGTTTTGGAAATACCGTGGATCTGTTCCTTTGTCATTTTCAGTGGCTACCTGTTCAAGGACCTGCGGTGCATGACTTTCAGGTTCCCTTGTGTTCTTCCCTCACAAGCAGCTTATTCTTTTCAAATCCAGTTCTTTTTGCCCTGTTAAAATAAGCCATTAGCTGTCACCACTTCATCCAGTTCTCTAACAAATGGATGTGCACTTTTTCCTCATGCTTCTGTTACCTCTATTACCTGAAAGGCACTCGAGATCACTGCTGTGTACTTACTCTTCTCTGGGGGCCCTCTTCTGCTGTAATCCATGCTGTAAATGGCCTCGTGTGGTGTAAGCAAATAACCTAAAGAAGCAGCAGTTGTTCCTATAGGCTAAATCAGTATATTTGTATGACCTGTATATATCACCTTCTTTGTTTGTTCATTCTGTTTTCAGTGCTTTCTGTTTGGTCTCAAATAGTGAGTGCTATCTGCTCATAAGAAATAGCAAAATAGTGGAAATGAAGAGGAATAAACCAGATTTTCTCAGGATGTATTTGTGTGTGTGTGTACACAGACATACTGCACACACAGTTTGACACAGCTGTGCAGTAGTATTGACGGAGGACCAAGAAAGTGCTTCTGATAATGGAATATTCTTTTAATTTGTGGACTTCCTTTTTGGCTAATGAACTTGGACTACTGACATAAGTTACTCCCTAGGGACAAGTGGTAATGCAGACGTGGAGCTGCTTCTACTGTACTGGGCAGAGAGCTGTGCATGTGGTTTTATTTATTTTTCTTATGTATCATGATGTAAATTACATCGTGAAGGTAGCTACAAATGTTGAAGCTGTCTGGGTTTGTTGTTGCTCATATGTGTAGAGAAATTGTGGGGAAAAAACGTTTGGGGACGTTTGAGTCCCTGTGAAAATGTATTTTGAACATCATCTCAGAGTGAAAACTGGCAGGTGAATTGCTTTACAATAGCTGCTATATGTTTGCTTTTACTCTTCTCACATATGTAAGAAATTAGAGTTTCTGTCCTAAAAATCCTTACTTGTAAGTGCAAATAAGGAAAGTAATGGAGCGGGTGGTGTGTCAAATTTCAGATACTTGTCAGTCATTATTTGCAGCATTTGTGGTACTTGAGCTGTATTCAGATGTGGTCAGGCATTCTCAGCACCAACGTTCTCTGCATCAGTGTTTTCCTACATAGTGCTGAAATTCGAGTTAAGTTCAACTATT